TTTGGCCCTTTGCCTTATCTCAGTACTTAGAGTTTGCCTTTGTATTCTTTGCATCCTTGGCCTCTTTCATAACTAAGTGCTCTCCCTACATGAGAGCAAAGAATTGATAACTCCATAAAAGTCCTACCTCTATGGTACTATGACATTATCATACTCATGACCAAATTATTTGTCATCTCATATCTACATTTCTTTCTACGCTATTGGTAAATTTGTCCCTACGGCACTATGGTACTCCTCTAACTCTACCTCTATTCTAATCAATGCTTGATTTTGTATAGTTGTCTCTCTAAACTCGTCACTTCCTCATCCTTTTTGACCACTTGCTTTAATACCTTTATATTTTCTGAGCAATTCTCTTGGTCGATGGAAAGATAAACTACAACTCTCATGTATGGTCACAGCCTTCATGTTATATGACTTACGCCGATTATATTCTGCTTTATTTTCTTAGTAACAATATTCGCTTACTTAGCCTTATTATGTGACTTTTTAGGCTTCCTTAAGCGAATATAAACTTTGGAGTAATCAAACTATTCAGTTGCTCTGATTATACCTTTGTATGATCAAGTGATTCCCATGGGACTCACTAGTACTTACAGTTGAACTATTTCCTCGGTGGTATATACCCCTTATATGTTGATGACCAATGCTTTAATTCGATACAAAATTTGGTGCACGCATAAAAGACTCACCTCTATGGTACCATGACATTCACTCATTGAATCCATAACCCTTCTTGTCATATTGTTAACTAAAGTAGAGTTCATAATAACTCTCAATCATACCTTTGTATGATCATATCTCTTACGGGACTTCTCTCATGTGTGTCCTATTGTCTTGAATTGTTTCAACATGATATGTTGTACTATGTTGCCATATAGTAACATCTCTATTATATTTTGATCTTTATAAGATAAACTCGAACTGTAATCTTTTTATGTGTGGCCTTTGCCAACATATTGCCTTTGCCACCTTTTATTATGTTCACTTATTTAATAATTGATCTTCGTCCACCCGCTCTCGAGTCACACCTAGACGAAGCATAGCTCTAGGGCATTCAATTACCTAGTGGCCCTTGAAGTCCACTAACTTTGTTAAAATTAGTATGTCATTGTTTGGATCCTAGGCTTTTACCCTCAGCACAATTTTTATTATGCACCACTTCCTTCGTAGAAACTCAAATGGTAATACAACAACATATTCTTTAAGAGTATCTTCTTCCATATTCTCTTGTCTCATGCCAAAGCCTTTTAACCCCAACTTTACCTCGACAAATTGAGTTACGCTCTTGACTTTATAAGAGTTCATGTTCTTGACTTTTGTTCAAGGAAAGCTTCATATCTCCACTTCACATTCTATCTTCTATGTCGACTCCTTTCATGCGGCTTGGACACTTCACCAAGTTTCATCTAAGTTGTTTTGCTCATCGATTTATATTGAATTAATGGTGGCCCTTGTGCCCACCATCTATGGGTCAACTCTTCGTTAAGTCCAATTTTTACAATGACTCTAAGTATGCTTTCATTTAGTGCTGCATTAGTTTTCTCCCCACGTGATCTCGCAATGCATCCACCAATATAATACCTCATGTGATAACTCCTCGTCGCTCACTCAGTTCATTAAACTTTATGGAGTTGTTATTTTGAGGTATCTCTCATCAACATATGTAATATGTTACACATGATTCTTTCTTTTGAAAATCGAGACGTATCCCTCCTAAATATCTGTCCTATTAGAGCAACTTTTCTCTTTGCATCTTTCCTTTTAGAAGTTTTAGAGACTATCATCCTCTTAAACTACTCTATTTTGCTAAACAAGCTATTTACTATTCTGCCTCCATGAATGCATTTGCTAGATTATCTCTTTACCAATTCAACCTTTGTTGTGCCCCTCACGACTTAGCAACATGCTAAATTAGCTTCATACGGATGTATCCTTCCTATGCTGAAGAAAATTTAATGCTCCATAGGAACGAGTTTTGGTCACCATGGGATAGTTACGAATAGTCCATCATCTATATGCAAGCCCTTGAATAAGTACTAATTTTTTTTAGTAATTTCTCTTACCTTTATGAGCTTTGTACAACCCTTTCGATCATTGAGCAATCCATCTCACCTTACATAGTCTTATCCTTTACTAAGTGCCCTATTTGCCTTTAGCGCCATAAAGTTTAGTTGCCAACGTCGAGTCGTAGCTCGAACTCAGCCATCTTAACCTCCGTGTGCTATACATTCTTTCTAGTTTGTTTGACCTTATGGTGCCTCTTATGTGAAGGATTAGCTATTTTTTTGAATGTTAATCTTGAATGCCTACTCCTCTAAGTGACTCCTTTCCCTACATCTTTATGCTCATTTCCCTTAAATAGTCGTGCGTTCTAGCTACCCTTAATGCAACCTCACTAAGACCCCCACGTTTACATGTAAAATGTTTCTAATTATACTTGTCCAGCTCTAATATCATCTTTTATAGACATAGCTGGTTTTGCATAAGTCATGTGACACATTTACATGTTTATCCATAAAAAATCAACTTGTCTGAATCCTCTTAGAGCCCTTAAAGACATACAAAAGAGAAAACAGATAAGAAAAAGTATTTAACTTGTGATTTACGTGTAGCCATTTCAGTAAATATTTGATAGACAATGTATATTACAAACATAAATTTTGCAAACCATGAACAGTCATGTGACAATTGTTGAATTAAGTGAAAATAGGTTGAAATTAAACCCATAATTACTCTTTTGCTCACTCCCAATCGAAATTGAACGGCACATAACTACAATTGTTTGATCTACCATAAACAGAGGATGCTTGCAGTAAGCATAGCACAGAGAGATCTCTGCCACAAACAGAGAGCTCTAACAAGCACAAAACAAACAGAGTAGTAGAGCGAAACAAGAAAGATCACTAGATGGGATTGTATAGCGTTTTATTTGCCTAAGAAAGGCAATTCATTACATACTTCATTTGCAATCCACCCAAAAACATCTTTCATTTCATCATCAATGTATTTACAACACGAATGCCATTATCTACCTTTTGAATCGACTGCATTCGCTGGCACTTATTTTCTCTTCATCTGTAGCAATATGTGTTAGAGCTAGCTCTAGGAAATTTACCAAATGGTAATTTTGGTAATCCAACAAAGACAATAAAGCGAAAAGAATAAAAGCGACAAGAACACCATATTTACGTGGTTCGGTCTGGTAAATCTAGGTTTCTTCCGGGGAACTTCCGATGATCTCTTGGCAATGTTCCAACGGACTCCCGGCAAGCTCCTGGACTTCACAATGATCTTCTTGCTGAGTTTCGACGAGCTTCTTCAGCAAGCTCCTGGACTTCTCGATCAATTCCGGTAGAACTGTCGATTAACATCTGGACTTCCAACGAACTCTCGAACTCCCAACGAAATCTCGTTCTTGACTTTGGGACTTCATTTTGCTTTATGCTTTGATTTCTATCATAGTTAATCCTGCACACTTAAAACCTACTTTGATGAGGGTAATTATTATAAATTAAATCACATGTTGTCCGGTATGTCATTGGTTCATCGGCGCTTCGTCTGAATCTTCGATACATGTTGTCTAGTATGTCATTGCCCAATCAGCTATTTGATCTTCATAACTCCGATATCCTTGGCGCAATTTTCGCTCTTCTTGGCCCAATGCCTGAACTCATGGCCCAAAGTATTCTGTCGATATGTCGACCGATCCTCCGACTCGATGTCAAATCTTATGATATTTTCTACTCCGGCCCAATATGATTCTTCCTACTTTTAATTGTCTTTCCTTTATCGAAACTTCCTGTATCACTCAAAACGCATATCAAATCACAAATACTATTAATTGATTTCATCATCAAAATTCGAGATTTAACAAATATTACCCCAAAAGCCTATCTAGCCATGTGTCACCTAGGTAGCTCTTGGGTGTTTGTTTCCGGATAGTTTTACCTATATGTGATAATTGCACGTAACTTAAATTTACAAGTCTAAAATTATCATAAAAGTTAACCAAAATAAGACTACCATTGAGGTGTTGCAATCAAAGAACTTCCAAGATCAAATCCTCCCCTCCCTTGTTATTATTATGGTATTTTTTACATATTTTCCTAAATATTTATGATTTTTTAATTATTTAAAAAATTCATCTTAATAAAATCAAAATGTTGGTAATAGTTGATACGTGGAATATTGACCTTTAATGTTAAATATAAAAGTTTGATGATGAAATTAATTAAAAATTTTATAAATTAATCTTATAATAAACTAAATTATATCGGGGTATTTTGACTAAAGAAATGGATTGTAAAAGGTTTATATGTCAGATTAAAAGTGGTATCAAGGGCTTGTGATAAAGATTCTTGATGTTATACTGAAAAATAGAACATCATATAAGAAGGATAAATTATGATATCGAAAGATGCAATGATATATTAGAGGATCAACTGAGATGCCGAAAGATTGCTAATACACCGAAAGAATAAATGATTTTCCAAAAGACTCGGTGTTATATAAAAAAAAAATGAATGTTATTTTGAAATATTTCTTGAAGTTAAATTAGGGTTCAATTACGCTAAATTCGAGCAATGTCAAGTTACTGAATTGGGTCAAAACAGGTTGAAATTGGACCCATAATTACTCTCTTGCTCACTACCAATCGAAATTGAACGGCACATAACTATAATTATTTGATCTGCCATAAACAGAGGATTCTTGCAGTAAGCATATAACAGAGAGATCTCTGCCACAAACATAGAGCTCTAACAAGCACAAAACAAACAGAGTAGTAGAGCGAAACAAGAAAGATCACCAGATGGGATTGTATAGCATTTTATTTGCCTAAGAAAGGCAATTCATTACATACTTCATTTACAGTCCACCCAAAAACTTCTTTCATGTCCTCATCAATGTACATACAACAAGAACGCTATTATCTACCTTTTGAATCGACTGCATCCGCTGGCACTTATTTTCTCTTCATCTGTACGAATATGCAGTCCAGAAGCAGGAAACAGAAGATGTCTCTGAATCTCGGGGAGATCAAGAAGAGGAGAAGCATTTCAGGGATCAGCAGAAGCAGGTATGGCGTGTCTGCAGAGAGGACACACATGGCTGCTCTCCAACCATCGAGTGAGACAGCCGCCATGGAAGGCGTGCTTGCATGGCATCCGCGTCACCTCCACGCCCTCGTCGAACTCCTCGAAGCAGATGATGCAACTCTCCTCTCTGACATCTCCTCCACGCTCGTACTTCACCACCGCCAGCTCCTTCACCGCGTCCGTCGACGCCGGGATGCCGCCGAAATCCCCGTCCTCGCCGACGCCTTCGACGTCCGAAGAAGTTTCCTCATCGCTCGGGAAGTGGGCCAAAGGTACATCCACGATCATCTCGATCCCGTTGCCCGAGTTCAAAGCCATCTCGACTGGATCATTGCAGAAGGCAACGAGTTGTCTCTCCATCCACCCGGCGAAGCAGATGTCATAACCATAGACGCCGGCGCGTAAGAGAACGGTCGAGATCGCCCGGCGGCGAGATGTTTGGTGGAGGAAGTCGCCGAGAGTGAAGACAAAGGTGTGGTAGGCACGGGGCGGTTCCTCCACGACTCGACCTTCGACAATGTGCATCACGGTATAGCCGAGTTTGATCACCACCGGGGCCGATGCCGGCGTCCCCTGAGTTTGATAGGCCCTGAGAACCCAATCGGCATGGCCATGGACAGGAGTCGTCTCCATCGTCGCAATCGCCTTCTTGTCGCACTTCAACCGTGTGAATGAACTCGGCTTAATTCCTACCATGGAGCGGCTTTATATAGAGAGACACAGATTCTGGTCTCGGAATCTGAGACGGGATCGAATTCATCGAGTACAAATCCTAAAAACAATCCGACGCGTAGTTTCCGTTGCCACATAAGTTTGTGGGTTGGACTCCGAAAGCGGTTCCATTCGACACGTGTTGAAATCCTACGGAAGAACGAACTTGCTTCTTTCTTGATGGATTATTCGTGAAGATTTAATTGGAAATTGAAGGGTTTTATGACGTCATCTCTAGAAAGTCAACTCTTTCCTGCTCCGTGTTGAAAGCCATTCACTACCGGACGCCAAATTAATTCCTCCCTAAAACCAATCAAGCATTGACATCCAAAATATAGCTCGACAGCAAATTGTAGAATTGATTTTTTAATATTTTAATATTTTATTATATAGCTCGACAGTAATATATTGAATTAATTTTTATTATTTTTATTATTCTATTTAAAGATATAGGGATGATTTTTATAAAAAAAATACTTATATTTTAGATTTTTTCAAATGATTATCTCATTTTATTTCAAACTACCCCTTCTCGTCCACCCCTCTCCCTTGGTTGTCATCATCATCATATTATCCTGTTTTTCCCCTCTCCTCTCCCATTGCTTGATCTTTCCCTCCCATCTTTTCCTCTCCTTTCCGGTAGTTCATCCTCTCCTCCTCTCTCTCTTCCTTTTTCTTCTCTATCCTTTCCGTCATCTCCTCCCTTCTTCTCCCATCGTGGATGGCGAGCAATGAGAATAAGTGGACAATGAGCTATCACGAATTTAACTAGTCTTATCTAACTCATGTGATACCTTTGCATGTCCATCCGCAAAAGGTCAACTTCTCCGAAACTTCTTATAATCCCTTGAGGACCTAGAAGATAAGTTATATAAACTATTTAACTTGGTATTCACAAGCAATCATTTTAATAAACACTTAATAGGCAATACGAATGACAAATATAGACTTTAGAAACTCTAAATGGTTACTCGACAAATGGTCCAAGGTGATTCGTCGCGGTTAAAAGTCCCCACAAGTCCCCATATGATACTACTACGAAACAAGGTAATGAACTAGCCCTAAATACTATCCCAAAGGCTCATCTAACCATATGCCACCTAGGCAGCTCTTGGGTCTTATGTAAGTTGACACTCTACACCACTCTATGGGGCTAGAAAACCCCAAAAAGACTACTTGGATGGTCTATTTCTGGACAATTTTATCTCTACACGATAATTGCCCATAATCTATATTTACAAGCTTGAAACGACCAATAAAGCCAACCAAAATGGGCATACCAAACCTACTATAAATCATTTACATGTTATGCAAAACATGAACAAATCCAAAAGACATAGACATGTATGAGCATTATATCGAACACCCTATTTACAATTTCATCTATAACATTCTCTCCCACTTATTCCTTTAACGTCCTTGTCGAAGTCTTTACAGATGCTACATCTTCTAACTTTTGTTAAATCTTTAATCTTATACTCTAGTTACAACGCACCTTTTGGCTCCCAACTACTCTCCATCGTTATTATTGAGTAGTCGAACTTTAATCTGCCATGTTACTTCAACTCACCAATGACTCGGACACTAATATAGAATCGACTAAGTTATATTGATCATTATAAGTTATTGTAGATAGATGAAAAAAAAAGTCCTTCCTTATTATGAACTAGTCTCTTAAACATTTGCCTGAATTGGGTGGATGCTTATTTGAACTTGAATAAGCATTCCCTCACAAACTTTAAAGTTTTTGAGGTCTTTCCTTCACAAAATATACCCATCAATATCTCTCCATTTAGTTATCATTTTTAAGTAGGTCAGTATCATTTCTGCTTTTGATTGACATTTTATTAGAAAATAAAGTGAATAGTCTACTCTCGATAATGCCAATTATCATTGGTGAGATTTTAAAAACTATTATCTTTCACTTTATTCGAAGGATCTTTAAACATAGAAAGAGCTCCTTTATAAGATAAATAAGAAACTAGAGAATTCAATTTCGCCTATTATTTTAAGAGTTGATAAGGTAAAATTTATTTGACTTCGCCCTTCCTTAGTCGAGCACTTTTGCATCGACCCGAAGTCCCTCACTTTCAACTATTTAGATAAGAAGATCGTTGACACTGGTCTTGCGAAGTTTTTTTTGTCTCTAGCTATTAGCCTTATCTTAGTACTTGGAATTTGTCTTTATATTCTTCGCCTCCTTGGCTTCTTTCATGATCAAGTACTCACCCTTCATGAGAGCAAGGAATCGATAACTCCATAAAAGTCGTGCTTATATGGTACCATGACATTGTCAAACTCATGACCCTATTATCTGTCATCTTATATCTACATTCCTTTCTAAGCTAATGATATATTTGTCCTTGCGACACTATGACACTCCTGTAACTCCACCTCTATTCTAATCAATGCTTGATTTTGTGTAGTTGTCCCTCTAAATCCATCATCACTTCCTCATCCCTTTTGACCACTTACTTCAATACCTTTATGTTTTCTGAGCAATTCCCTCTAAACTACAACTCTCATGCATCGCCATTGCCTTCATGTTGTACGGCTTATACCGATTATATTCTGGTTTACTTCATTGGTAACAACATTCGCTTACTTAGTCTTGTTCTCTGGCATTTTAAGATTTCTTAAGCGAATATAAGCATTGGAGCAGTCAAACTACCCAATTGCTCTAATCATACCTTTGTATGATCAAGTAACTCCCATGGGACTTACTAGTACATACACTCGAAATTTTTCCTCGGTGGTATATAGCCCTTATATATTGATGAATAAGGCTTTCATCCAATACAAAATTCGATGCACATATAAAACACCCACCTCTATGGTACCATGACATTCACTCAATGAATTCATAGCCTTTCTTGTCGTATTGTTCACTGAAGTGGAGCTCATAATTGCTCTCAATCATACTTCCGTATGATCATATCTCTTACGGAACTTCTCTTATGTGTGTCATTTTGTCTTGAATTGTTTTAACACGATTTGTTGTACCATGTTACCTCTCAGTAACATTTTTATTATATTTTGATCTTTATGAGATAAACTCAAACTGTAATATCTCTATGTGTGGCCTTTGCCAACACATTAGAGGGCCTTTGCCACCATTTATTGTGTTCACTCCTTTAAAAATTGATCTTCGTCTACCTACTCTCGAGTCACACCTAGAAGAACCATAGCTCTAGGGCATTCCATTGCCTAGTAGCCCTTGAAGTTCACTAACTTTGTTAAAATTAGTATGCCATTATTTAGATCCTAGGCTTCTGTTCTCAGCACAATCTCTATTGCACACCACTTCCTTCATGGAAACTCGAATGATAATACAATGGCATATTCTTCAAGAGTATATACTTGCATGTCCTCTTGCCCCATGCCAAGGCCTTCTGACCCCAACTTCACCTTGATAAATTAAGTTATGCTCTTGCCTCTATAAGAGTTCATGTTTTTGACTTTTGTTCAAGGAAAGTTTCATATCTCCACTTCATATTCGATCTTCTATGTCGACTCTTTTCATACGGCTTGGGCACTTCACCAAGTTTCATCTAAGTTATTTCACTCATCGGTTTGTATTGAATTGATGGTGGGCCTCGTGCCCACCATCCGTGGGTCAACTCTCCATTAAGTCCAATCTCTACATCGACTCTAAGTATGCTTTCATTTAGTGTTGTTTTCGTTTTCTCTCCCACCTGATCTCGCAATGCATCCACCAATATATTATCTCATACGATAACTTCTCGTCGCTTGCTCAGTTCATTAAACTTTATGGAGTTGTTACTTTAAGGTATCTCTCCTCAACATATGTAATATGTTGCATATAATTCTTCTTTCGAAGAATCGAGACTTATCCCTCCTATATATATGTCATATTAGAGCAACTTTCCTCTTTACATCTTTCCTTTTAGAAGTTTTAGAGATTTTCATCCTCTTAGACTGTTCTACTTTGCTGAACGAGTTATGCACTATTTAGCTCCCATGAATGCACTTGCTAGATTTGAACTCTTCCAATTCAACCCTTGTTGTGCCCCTCATGACTGAGTAATATGTTGAACTTATTGTATAATTTATCTTCATATAGAAGTTTCCTTCCTATGTTTAAGAAAAAATTTCAATGTTCAATAGCACCAAGTTTTGGTCACCTTAGAATAGTCACAAATAGTCCATCGTCTACGTACAAGCTCTTGCATAAGTAATAAATTTCTTTAAGTTAGTAATTTCTCTCACCTCTATAAGCTTTACACAACCCTTTCGATCATTGAGTAACCCATCCGACCTTTCATGGTTTTATCCTTTACCAAGTGTCATGTTTGCCTTAAGCGCCATAAAGTTTAGTTGCTAACATCAAGTCCTAGCTCGAAGTCAACCATCCTAACCTCTGTATACTATACATTCTTTCTAGTTCGATTATTCTTGTGGTGCCTCTTGTGTGAAGGGTTAGCTATTTCTTTGAATACTAATCTTGAATGCACACTCCTCTAAGTGACTCCTTTCCCTACATCTCTATGCTCGTTTCTCTTAAATAGTCGTGCGTGCTGACTACTATTAATGCAACCCTGGTAAGTCCCCCATGTTTATATGCAAAATATTTCTAAGTATACTTATCCAACTCTAATACCATATGTCATAGACTTAGTTGGTTTTACATAAGTCATGTGACCCTCTTTCATGTTTATACTTAAAAAATTACCCTATCTAAATCCTCTTATGGCTCTTAAAGACATACAAAAGAGAAGACAAATTAGAGAAAGCATTTAACTTATGATTCATAAGTAGTCATTTCAGCAAACATTTGATAGACGATGTATATTACAAACATAGATTTTGCAAACTCTCAATGGTCATGTGACAAAGGGTCTAAGGTAGTTTGTCATTGGTAAAAATCCTCACAAGTGCCCACATGACACTATTGTAAAAACCCTAAACACTATCCCAAAAGCCTATCTAGCCATGTGCCACCTAGATAGCTCTTGGGTGTTATG